CTTGGTTCGGTGGAAAGGGTGGCCGGCCAAGTACGATAGTTGGATTCCCGCGCAACATGGTCCGCGTCAAACTCACGCCTCGAAAAAGAAAAAAACGGGTACAGTTTCTCGATGACACCCTACCACGGACGCAGATGTGCTAAAATTCATCCAGAAAAAGCCGCGGAACAACGGCAAACCCAACCGTGGTGGGAAAAGTTGGCCAGCCCCACCAAACAGCAATGGGCCTACGCCAATGCTTACCATCGAGCGGAGGAGTATGCCAAGCAACGAGGGGCTCTACGGTCCCCACCCAAGAAAAAACAACAACGTCGACGCGCTGGTCGTCATCCACCCATGCGCAAGAAGAAACCCCCTAAAAAAAAGACCTGCATGACCCTGATGGAACTGGCCCGGGCCTTTCCCAACATTGCCCAGCAAGTGTGTTTTCATCCCAAACAATCGACCTTCAATTCAGTGGTGGGACGCGTCCCTCGCAGTAAACAAAAAGTGGCGACTTGGCTATAAAAGGACCCTGCACCCTGGGGGACGTGCCTCTTCTTCCTCATGATGAGTGAGATTAAACGCTTGACGCTCGTCAGTGATCCGACCGACGAGTTTCCCAACAATGCCAACAACAGTTTCAAGGTCCGTCTGCCCGAACGCCTGAACTTACCAGGCGCAGGCTGGCACGCGTCCCTATTGTCCCTGACCGTGCCAGATCAAGGCCAGAGCAATGCTGTCATTGCCACGGATCCTCACACCAAAGTCGTCAAAATAAGCGTCACGTTCTTGACGCGCAAATGGGTAACTGGGTCGTACAAACAGGTCGAAATCAAGAAAAAGGATTATGGAGTGGAATTGGAAGAGATCATGAGTGCCAAACAGTCTGTGACCACCGGCAGTGAGTTTTGGAAACGCGTGATGCAAAGTGAGCACAACAAGGTCATGCAGGCATTGATCAACCAACAAAGTGCTACCATGACCCATCATAGTGATCAATTTCCCGTGGTCAGTGTGAAAAAAAACTGGATGCCTATGATGAGCTGGAAAGGCGATGCCTTGGTGCTGCATGCTGTGGGTAAAGGAGACTTGATGAATGCGAACAAGAGCAAAATCACGAGCGCCTTCATGATGGATCTAGAGATCGCAAAAAGGTTTGGGTTCATTGAAAACCCGCAGGGGTGGATGAGGGGTATGTGCTGGGGCCCAATCTCCAATTCACGTGCCCTACCGTGACCTACACGAGCCAAACCCCGCCAGACCACAGTTCCTACCCCTCTGTTCGCGCGGATCTCAATTGGAATGGAGAGCATTATGCCGGGATGCTACCCAAGGATTTGACCGATGACGACGATATTGATCAAATGTTTGAGGTGAAAGGAAAACGGCTTTTGCTGTCCAGGCTGGTGGAATGGCAGTTCAACAACCTGGATGCTTCGTTTGAAAAGATGGTGGGCACCAGCAAACGCACCGTGATGGTGTACTCAGACCTGGTGGAATCCACCGTGGTGGGCAGTGGCAAGTATCCCCTGTTACGGGAAGTGCAATTATTGAGAACAGGGGAAGGAGAAAGTACAGCCGAACCCTTGCACCACCAATGGATCAAAGTACGAGGCCAACAAATGGATATCTTGGAAGTGGAAATTGCCAGTACCAGTGGACCCCTGACCATCTTACCCCCGGGCAAAACCCTGGTGACCATTGGTCTCAAACAGCTATAAAAAGCCACCCCTACATCACGTGGGGTCCAAAAAGCACCACGACGTGAACCATGCGCGGAGGCAGTTTAACGCGGTACCATACGCCCGTGCTCACTAAGCAAGAGGGCAAAGGCTTGGCCGAAGACTTGATCAAACTCGCGGGACCCTTGATCGTGCAGCAAGCTCAAGCGGGACTGCAAGATATTCAACGTGGCAAGAGTGCCGCAGACACCTGGGCCGATCGAAGTGCCCAACTCAGCCGCGGCTTGAAACGCAAAGCCCCTGCCATGGCTTGGACGGCGGGCAAACACAAGGTTAAACGGACTGCCCAAAATACCTATAAAAGAGCCACGCAACGCGTACGGGATATCTTTGGACTGTGAAAAATGGTACGTGTAGGAGGCTTTCTGAAAACGCAAAATCGTGTTCGACGGCAACGTGCCCGTGGACGGTTCATTTCGCCGTATCAAGTGGGGGGCACGATCTTTGGCAAGTCGACTATGGCGCGCTATCCCCTGATGAATACGACGCATCGGATCAACCCCGAACCCTGGAGGGTGAAGCAAGCCCTGCGCCGCATGAAAGGGGGCACGATTTTTGGCAAGGGGGATCTCCGAAAAGTGTTGTGGGCCAACCAAGCCAAAGCCAGGAAGCAGAAGAAGCAGAAAGGGGGCAATGTCTTTAGCAAGTTGAAAAAACGCATCCAAATCGATTTTCCTCACCGCCCCTTTCCCTCCGCGTTTCCCATCCATGATTGGCACAGACTACAAAAGGGTATAAAAAGAGGACGCCGTTGAACAACGTGGACAGACCGCATCATGTCGCTCAGTCTGTTTGACGTGCCCGATGTGGATTATCGGTACGAAGCCTCGCGGGAGGTGGAGTTTCAACCCGCCTTGACGGGCATCCAACCCATCACCTTCTCCATTCCAGGCTCTGACGATTATTACGACACCAATTCTCTCCGCTTCAAAGTCAAAGTGCGCCTGACCAATCCCGCCGCTGGGTATACAGGACTGGATGCTGGTCTGCTCATTTCCGATGCCAACGAAAGCAGACACGTCTACTGCGTCAACAATTTCGGTCACTCCATCTTTCGAGATATCACCATGAGCATGAATGGCGTCCTCATGACAGAACAGAGCAACACCTACCATTACAGAGCCTACGTAGAAACCCTGCTGAATTACAACCGAGAAGAAGGAGCCACCAAACTAGCCTCGCAAGGATGGATCAATCAGCTCAATGTGATTCCAGTCATGGGAGCCACCGCTGCTAATTCAGATGTCCCCGTCAATGCCAATTGGAGTGGGAATACAGAATTGCGAGCCCTGACTAGCCGATTGCTAGAAGAACATTGGCACACCTTCATCATTCGTCCCCATTTGCCACCCCTCAAGACAGGCAAATTATTGGTCCCCAATGTCCAGATGGACTTTGAACTCTTCCTGAACCCCAACACTGTCTACCTGATGGGCACCCCTAACAAAGGCACCTTGAATACCAAGAAATTTCCAGCCATAAACAATGATGACATCAAAGTCACCTTGTTGATGAGAAAAGTGACCCTGAATGCCAGCGTCTATGTCAGACTGCAAAAAGAAAGACAGCTGGGCAAACAGATTGCCCGCTACCCTGTCGTGCGGAGCGAAATTCGCACGTTTTCCTTTGATGGGCGTACCACCCAGTGGGAACAAGACAATGTGTTTGTGGGACGATTTCCTGATCGAGTGATGGTGGGATTATTGCATTCCAACACCTTCAATGGAGACCTGCAAAGATACCCGTTTGCCTTTGAAAAGTTTGGTGTCACCCAAGTACGACAGACCTTGAATGGAGAAGAATACCCTTACAGAACCCTGCAATTGACTGGAGACCAAAACTATGAAGATCTACTGGGCTACGATCGATTTTTACAAGCCATGGGTGCCTACAATGAAGATAAGATCCCTATGCTGTTGCCTAGTGATTGGGGACAAGGCAAGAACTGTACGTTGTTCATGTTCAACAATGTGCCCAGTGGAAAAGCAGATGACCCCCAGTACCGCAACCCCCGTCAATCGGGCAATACGCGACTGGTGATTGATTTTGCTGCAGCTGTCGGTCATAACGTCACCATCTTGGTATGGAGCGAATATGAAAACATGTACGAGATCAATCATCTGGGAGGTATAAAATACAACATCAACGGATGAAGTGGCCTCAGAAGTCAAAAGACACTGGTCATGGAGTTTGTGGCGCTCAGCGATACGGTGCTGCGGACCCTGGCCTTGGAGGATCCCGAATTACGACGCGTGTTTCATGGGGTGCACCCAGCCGACCAACTCCCCCGATCCCCCGCCAAGAGTGTCCGTCAAGCCTACATTGTCAACACCGATCCAGCGGGAGAACCGGGACAGCATTGGTTGGGTCTATGGACAGAAAAGAACCAGTGCGAGATCTTTGACAGTTATGGGCTACCCCTGCACGTGTACACCAACCCGGAGTTGCACCAATGGTGGGGTCAATGGAAGTACCTGACGCGCAGTGACCAGACCCTGCAAGCCCTGGATAGTCAAACCTGTGGCCATTATGCGTTATTTTTCTTGAAAGCCCGTGCTCAAGGACGGTCGTATCAAGAATTTTTAAGTCAATGGAGTTGCGACAATTTAGTGTTGAATGATCAAAAAGTGGCCGAGCAGTTGAAACGGGTGATCAAACGGGAATTACAAGATGAAGTCGATGCCCGCCGACCTGAAGGGGGGCAAAAGAATGTGAGCCGCCAGGCCTTTATCACTTGTCATCAATGTGAGTGTTGAAAATAAAAACCCATAAAAACGAGATGTGTGGTCCAAGAGTGGTCATTGTAGTTCATCATGATTACGCGAGCCGATGTCCAGCGGGTGGTGGATGCGTTTATTCTCGAAGAAACCTTGTATTGGTGGGAACACCCCATCGAAAAGGTCAATACGGTGCGCGGCATCGATGCCTGGGATGGGTATCATTGGCTCATGGCTCGACAATTGGCACAAGACCAAGATTGGGTCTCCCTCAAACAGTACATGGACAGCATGAGCGAAACGTATTTAAGAGAGACGATGGAAGGATTGATTCAATCTGAATCACCCCGCTTGTACCGCGACTATTGGACGGCATGCCCAGACGACGACGACAGCGCACCCGACGACCCCGCTTTCGCCAAAACGGACGAGGCATCATGAGCGTGTTGGCCAAAGCCTATAAAATCGGCGACCGATTGGGACGGGACAAACGGTATAAACGTATGGGCGCTAAAGGGGCCACCGGTCATTATCGACGTCACCCTCGACCGTGGGAATCATGATCCGACAACCTAGCAGTGTGATCATCGCGGGTCCGTCGGGCAGTGGCAAAAGTGAATTGGTGGAACAATGGTTACGGTACCTGAACGTGTTTCAAGTCAAACCCCGCAAGATTGTGTATGCCTATGATCGCTGGCAACCCCGATTCGAGCGTATGCAAAAAAAGGATGGGATTCAGTTTCATCGCGGATTACCGGACCCCCGTCATTTGACGCAATGGTTTGGTCGGACGCGCGGCGGGGTGTTGGTCTTGGACGACCTGATGGAAGAAGGGGGACAAGACAAGCGCGTGTTGGATTTGTTTACCAAAGATTCGCATCATCGCAACATTACGGTGCTGTATTTGACGCAAGATTTATTCCCGCCGGGTAAATTTTCCAAGACCATCAATCGCAACGCGCATTACATTGTGGCCTTCAAAAACCCCCGGGATCAAACAGGGATACGGACGATTTTATTGCAAGCCTTTCCGGATCGGTGGCGTCAAGTCTTGCGCCTATTTAAACGCATCACGGCCCGTCCCTTTGGCTATTTGATGTTGGATGTACATCCAGCGTCGGATGATCGTTATCGCCTGTGGAGTCATTTAACGCCTCGAGAAGGCAAAGCGCAAGTCCACACCTTGCGTGCGGATGTCCCTGCCGTTCGAAAACGAACTGCAACGAGAACTCGCCAGGGTCCGTCGACAAAGAGAAGGCGGACAACATACTGAGTTAGCCGCTCGCATGGACACACACTCGCCTGCGGGGGTGGGCTCCCCTTCGGTCCTCCGGGATCTCAGCAGCATGACAGACATGGTGACCGAATTGTCTCGACCCGTGGATCGTGCCCAATTGGAGCAAGACATTGACGATTTCAATTTGACTTACCCGGTCAATGTAGACGATGCCTTGAATGCCTTCACGCTCCCACCCGTGGCAGGCACCGGTACAGCACCACTTGCCACTTCTACTCCCATCACCACCATCACCACCACCACGGCTGCCCCCACCACCCGAACTCGTCCCACCCCCACCACCACCACCAGTCGACCACGACCCGTCACGTCCACTCGAACACGCCCCGCTACCACCGCCACGACCACCACCGCCCCCTCCCGCCCCTCCACCAGCCGCCGCAGCGCTGGGGCAGGCACCAGGACCACGACCTCCACGGTGACGACCCCCACTGGACGCCCCACCATCGCTGCCAAACAACCGCGACGGCGCCCCAGGGTGCCCTCCCCACCGTCCCCTGGTTCGTCCCCTCCGTCCGAGGACGAGGATGGCGATGATGATGATGACGATCGACGGCGAGGATTAAGGCGACGGTTGGATTTGCTCAATGAAGATGCTCAAGAACGGGCACGAGGTCGACGCATCCGTAACATCACGCACACCAATACCGTGACGACCGTGTATGAAGAGGGGGGTCGTCCCTCGGTGCGCCGCACGTCCACCCGAACCTCCAGCCCAAGTCCACCCAGACCACCACGCCGAGGACGGGGCCGTGGCCGTGGCCGAGCACGCGGACGGGGCCGAGCCCGTGGACGAGGCCGTAGTATATAAAAACAAGGACCTCCCTTCCATCGCCCCAAAATGTGTGGCCAATGTCGACACGCGATGGGACGCAAACGCCAACGCACCACGACTCGACGATCATCACGTCGACGTAGGATGAAGGGTGGGAAGGCGCCGTTCGTCGTGGATGTCAAAAAAGGCTTCAAATTGTTGACGAACCCGGCTATGTGGAAGATTCCTTCCAAAGCCGACATAAAGGCCGACAAACAACGGGTGGCCAACTACAAACGCCAGTATCGCGCTAGTGGCAGCAAGGACTCGTACAACAAGTGGTTGGTCAAGAAGGGGTATGCCAAAAAAGTGGGTGGGTGCAGCTTGATGTAAATGTATAAAAAAGAGACTTGCGGTGCTCAGCTCTCAAAAAACAAGAGTCGTCATGGGACCCAAACGCAAACGCAAACGCTCCACGACTCGACGACCCGCCAAACGACGACGGCGTGTGAGTCAAGTCGGGGGTGTTGGGCCCGGACTGCCTATAGGGATTCTCAAAGCCGGCTATGGGATCACCAAAGCCATCGGGGATCATCAAACCAAGCGTGCCATCGCCATTGGCGAAAAACGTCGACGGGAAGTGGCTTCAGGCAAACGGAAAAAATATGCGGGGGAATCGTTTAATTGTTCCATCATGTGAAAAAAATAGTATAAAAAGCGCTGACTCTGGGGATGGTATAAAAGAAACACCTGGTTGGACACAAGATTCCCATTGAGGATGGTCCGTGGACCCAACGGTCGCCGACATCGTTATGTCCCTCGAAAACGACGCCGACGACGTGGTTTGCAACGCGGCGCTAAGCTCCCGCTTTTGGCAATGGCTCTCTCGCCTTTGTGGCTCAGGAAATACAAACCCAGAGTCCGCCTTCGACGCCCAGACTAACCCTCAACGCAAAGCCGTCACGTTTGCGTTGGATTGGGACGACCAGTATGAAGCCGCCTTGTGTGCACGGTGTCGAGATCACATGCAAACGCATTATCATGGCGAATTGTGTGGTCGGTGTGGCGCCATTTTTACCATAAATAGACCTTGGTCCTTGCCTGAACTCAAGATTCATCATGGGGTGGCGCATGGAACGACAAGCCCCGTTCTTAAAAAGTGTCTTACAAGAAGCCAATCAACACAAACGACAAGAATTGTTGCGGATGGCCAATGCGGATCAGATCAATGCGGTCAGTGAATTGGTGATGAACACGCTGCGTGGCACGGTGCCCCGTTCCCGACAGACCATTACGTTGCTCAAACCTCACGCTCAGAGTTTACGTGCTATGGCCAAACCCGCTCATTCTGTCAAACGACGACGCGCTATCATGATGGCTCAAAAAAGGTGCCCTCTGGCCCGAACTCTACCGATGTTATAAACGTTGCATGCGCTAGATCAGACCCCTCAGTTGCACCATGGAACCCGAGATGGTGAGCACCACGGTGAACAACGCCCCGGCTTTTTTACAATTACGAGACCAGTACAAACAAGAATTGGTGGAAGACACTCGCTTGACCAAAGCCGCCGATTTGGCCGCCAAACAACATGTCCTCTTGACCAGTGATGCCCCCGATGCATGGAAACGGCCTCAACTCAAAGCCGTCAGCCGTCAATTACGCCATTGGACCAAAAAAGTGCGCCAACCGTTTGGAGCCCCAACTGGGGGTGTGAGTGCCGCAGGGGCCACGACCCCGGGCGACGATGATTTCGAGGCGGGCCCCATGCAAGCCTGGTTTACGCAATTGGTCAAGGCCACTCAGGGTATAAAACAAGGTACTCCGACTGGTGGACCCAGAAAACCCCCTGTCCCGCCTAAACCAAGGTTCACGCCCAGTGCCAAAAAGAAACTCAAGTTCACCACCCCATTGAGCAGTGAAGAATTGGCGCACGAGTTGCCCTTTTCAGAGAAGATTGGTGTAGAACCGTGGGATACCCCTAAAGAACGTGTGGACACCATCAAGAGAAAAGCCCTACGTGATATTCGCAAAAAAACCACAGACAGTGCCAAAAAGAAAGCTGCGGGCATCGCCAAAAAGAAAGCCGCCGGTTGGGCCAAGAAAGCTTTGGATTGGAAATCGTGGAAAACCCCCTAACATGGGACGCAAACGCCGTGCTCCATCCCGTTCCCGAGCGAGGCGGCGACGACGCTCGCAACGGGGCGGCAAGTTATTTGATGTACAAAACCTCCTTAACAAGACCGGCATTGAATTTCATTGGCCCGGTTATCAGTACATGGGCCCTGGCACCCATTTAAAGAAACGATTGGCCCGTGGGGATCCCGGCATTAACCGGTTGGACAGGATTGCTAAAGCCCATGACATTGACTATGATAAAGCCAAGACGTTAAAAGACAAATGGGCAGCGGATCGTAAGATGATTGCCAAGATTGATCAACTCCCTGGCAGTAAAAACTTAACCGAGCGTATTGTGAGACGCATTATGAAAGCCAAACTCCGATTTGGCATGTAAAAACCCCTCTTTTTAGTCATAAAAAAAAGACAACATGTTAATTGACACCATGGTTTAATAAACTTCATGTTTGTTTTTTCTTACAAATACACTTGTATGTTCTGCAACGCCTCAGCGCGAAGGGTTTGTACCTTGTTTTCTTCTTCAGGGACGGACTGTGACAAGTCCAAAGGCAACCACGGGAGGGGAAAGGGACGCTCTAATTCTTCGTCCAACCAGGACCATTCTCGGCGCCGAATGGCTTCCACCCGCTTGTCATATCTTTCTTTCTGCAGGGCCTTCCATCTTTCCTCGCCCAATACACGCTTTTTCTCAGCCGCCATCTCCCGCCGTCGCATATTCAAACGTTGCTTGTAGGCCTCGTAGGTCCCCTCTTTTTTCATTCTTTGTATCCAATTTTTTTGGCACTGGTTGTTTTTGCGTTTCACTTCAGCCCGTTGCTCCTCCGTCATGCCATGATAGCGCCGCATCCCCTCCTCGGTCTTTTTGGCCTTGAAGGCTTCATACTCTCCACTGGCTTTCATACGAGCCATCCGCTCGTGGTAGCGTCGACGGTGGAGAGCCTTCACGTCCTCGATGCCATTCACGGCCGCGTACAAGCGCTGCCGATACTGCTTTTGTTGTTGTTTATTTTTCACAGGGTCCCGTTTTTTTTTTCTGGGGGGCTGGCGCGATCCTGGCGTATCCATGATCCAGCTCCAATACACGCGAAGCACACACGTCTGCCAAGGCCCGCAATTTTCTAAAGGGACTGGGCGTCTGTCTGTTCTGGGCACGACGGTCCCGCTGCTGCTGGATAAGCCGGTCGCGGTGTCGATGATAATATTGACGGTTCAAAGCCCGTACTTGGTCTCCGTGCGTGGCTCGGTACCGGTTACAGGCCAACCGGTTCAATTCTCGGGCTTTGGCCAGCTGTTCTGGGGTCGGGGGCGGTTTGGGCGGCTTGGGCGGTTTGAGCTTTTTCTTGGCCGCTCGCTGCTCTCGTTTCCGTTTCACAATCTCTTCCCGGTGTTTCAGGTACCACCGGTGTTTAGCCTCTTTCACTTTCTCTGGATCTCGATTAGGCATGTCTCGATGGCAACTGACGTCTGGTCTGGACGCTGGCCTATATCTAGAGGTCTCTCCGCCAATCAGCGATCTCGACCCCAGGCTCAGAGGAGACTTGAGAAAAATTTGTACCCATGGGGGGCACCCCCCTCAATCCTCCTCCTGTGCGATCAATCCCTCCCCATCCCTTACTTGACCCTCATCTGACTCTCACCTGACTCTCACCTGACTCTCACCTGAGTCCCATCCACCAATCCCCGTTCGTTTGATCACGTGTTTTTGGGTCTATAAAAGCCAGCGTCTGGCGCGGGACATTCAAATTGTCTCCTCCGTCATGGCGGAGGACCACTGGTATGATGACAGTGACGAAGAGGATGCTCTATTGAACCGCGCTTATGACCGGTGGGAACAGTTGGGAGGGGCCGCTCCCGCCCGAGGCCCTCTCTTTCAATTTACCATGCAACCCATTGGTCGACGACGCCGCTGGCGCAATGTGGTGGAGCGGGCGCAATTCAACGCGCAATTGCGTCAATTGAGGGATGCTGGTCCAGGGGATAATATTGGCCTGGCATTGACGGAAGCCTTACATCAAGCCATTGAAACGGAACTCGACCGTGAGCAGCGACCTGCCCATCATTTCGTGAACTTTGCCATTACAGCGCATGGATTCACTCACGCCTACCAAACCGCCAATTTTACCGTGGGGGAATTTTTACAACGCACTGCTCGTTTGGATGAGATGTTGGCTACCCTGGCGGGAAAATTAAACAGCAATGAAGCCTTCAACCCCGATCGCGGGTTCCAAGTGGATGTGGTGTTTGTCTCTATGCCCGGCCCGGGGTCTGGTCGACACAAACAACGCAATGTAGGCCGTTTATGTTTGGATCGAGTTAACCAGAAAAAGCGATGCATTGTCACCATTAAAAACAGAGATGCCTTATGTTGTGCCCGCGCCATTGTCACCATGCGAGCCCATTGCCACAAAGATCAAGGCGTGGACGGGTTTCGCGACTGGGACAATCTCAAACGCGGTCGTCCTGTGCAGCAACGTCAAGCCCAGGCCCTCCATCAGCAAGCGGGAGTCACGGAGGGACCCTGTGGATTACCCGAGCTTCGTCAATTTCAACAAGCCTTGGGCTCTCACTACCAACTCTTGGTGATGACCCGGATGAAACCGTTTTTTTTAATCTTCAAAGGGCCCACCGCTCCTCATCAGATTCGTTTACTCAAATCCAACGATCATTTTGATGGCTGCACGTCCTTTCCTGCCTTTGTCAACCGCTCCTATTATTGTGTGGACTGTGAACGAGGGTTCAACACCAACGATCGAACCAATCATACTTGTCAAGGGAAACGCTGCTCTGCGTGTGGACGAATGGATTGTCCGGATTATGTGCGGGGTACCCGCCCCACTGAGTATTGCAGTCTGTGTTACCGCAAGTTTTACGGCCATCAGTGCAAACGTTATCACGAAATCAGCAAGCAATGTCAATCCATCAAAACCTGTCTCAAGTGTCAAGCCCAATACACAGTCGTCCGTAACCAACGTCACCGGTGTGGGTACGCCAAATGCTCCGCGTGTCAGGAATGGGTACCCATCCAGAACCATCAATGTTACATTCAGCCTGTAAAGGATGAGCACGAGGAGACTGAACCGACAGAGGAGGGGGGAGGTAGCATGGTGGCGCCACCCCCTCCCCTGTTTGTTTACGCAGATTTTGAAGCCATGCAGAATGCAGAAGGCGTGTTTGTGGCTAATTTGTTATGTTATTCGTCGAGTGTAGACACCACCATTCATGTCTTGGACGGGGAGGACTGTGCCTTACAATTTTTGCGTGATTTGGATGATCTCACGGACGTTCCAGACTGTGAGGAGGATCGAACGATACTCGTGGTGTTTCACAATCTAAAAGGGTTTGATGGCATGTTCATTCTCCATGAACTCTACCAGCAACAACGCGAGGTCGTGGATCAACTGACCGTGGGAGCCAAAGTCTTATCGTTTAGAAGTGGACCCCTCAAATTCATTGACTCGTTGTGTTTCTTGCCTATGCCGCTGGCCTCCTTTTCCAGTACCTTCAATTTGACCGAATTAAAGAAGGGGTTCTTTCCCCATTTGTTCAATACCCCCGATCACCAACAATATGTGGGCCGCATCCCTGATTTGGAATTTTACGACCCCGACGGCATGATGGCTAAAAAGAAAGAGGAACTGACTCGTTGGCACGCCGATCAAGTCCGTCGGAACGTGCCCTTCCATTTCCAGCAAGAAATGATCGAGTATTGCAAATCGGATGTGGCTCTATTGAAAGCTGGGTGTGAAGCCTTTCAACAAGAATTCGAACAGCAGGCGGGCTTCAATCCCATGGCCAAGTGCATCACCATTGCCAGTGCCTGCAATCTGTATTGGCGCAAGCATCATTTGACCCCCGACACCATTGCAGTGGAACCTCTCGGAGGGTGGCGAGGGGCCCAAGTCAACCAATCCCTCAAGGCCCTGCAATGGCTCTATTACCAAGAACATCTCCTTCCCAAAGAAGGAGCCTGTGCTGACCGCATACGTCACGTTCGTAATGGCGGCGAACAATCGGTCCGAACCAGCGTCGACAGTCATTTCGTCGATGGCTATGATCCTGTGACTCGTACCGTCTACGAGTTCCACGGATGTCTCTATCATGGTTGTCCCCGCTGTTATCCTGACAGGCAAGCCAAACATTATGCCACGCCGGATCGAACCGTGGAGGAACTCTATCAAGCCACGCTCTCCAAACGCATGGCACTACTCCGAGCAGGTTATACAGTCATTGAAATGTGGGAATGCGAATGGGACCGACTAGTGGACACCGATGAAGCTGTTCAACAATTCCTGACTTCCTTCGATTTGGTGGCACCCTTGGAACCCCGCGAAGCCTTCTTTGGAGGTCGAACCGGTGCCGTGGCTCTACATGCCGTAGCTGGAGAGGGGGAGGAAATACGCTATGTGGATGTGACCTCCCTGTACCCATGGGTCAACAAGAACTGTCCCTATCCCATCGGGCATCCGCGGATCATCACGCAGCCCGCTGACCAGTCTCTAGACTCTTATTTTGGTCTAGCCACCGTCGATATTCTTCCCCCTGCTGGTTTGTTCCATCCTGTTCTGCCCGTGCGTAGCGGCAATAAGCTCACGTTTCCTCTCTGTCGAGCCTGTGTTCAGACCGAGCAGGCCCAACCCATGTTGACCCGAACCCGTTATTGCTCTCATTCCGATACGGATCGCACGCTACGTGGGACCTGGTGCACACCCGAGTTGGTCAAAGCCGTCGAAAAGGGGTACACGCTGATCAAGATTCACGAAGTCTGGCATTTTTCTCCTGAGCAACGCCAAACGGGTCTTTTTGCTGATTATGTGAACACGTGGCTCAAGATCAAACAAGAATCGGCGGGGTGGCCCGGCTGGTGCCAGACCCTTGAGCAGAAACGCAACTACATTCTTCGTTACCAGGAACGGGAAGGCATCCAACTGGACATTGCCAGTATTGCCAAAAATCCCGGTCGCAAAGCCACGGCCAAGCTCATGCTAAACAGCTTCTGGGGC